GAGATTGTTCACAGCTTCAGTTTGCTCGGCTCCACGGTCAACACTCTCGGCACCAGTAGTCAAGAAATCAAAAAACGTATTGTGATGGGAAAGTCTGTGGTTAGGGACCTCTCCAAAATACTGAAGAGCAACAGTGTCTCTCTGGAGACTAAGGTCCGCCTGGTACAGGCCATAGTTTTTGCAATCACTTGTTATGCCTCAGAGAGTTGGACTGTGACTAGGGAGGATAGAAGGAGAACTGACGCCTTTGAGCTGTGGTGCTGGAGAAGAGTATTAAATGTACCATGGACTGCCAAGAAAACAAACAGATTATCGTAGAGAGGATTAAACTAGGCTGCTCCGTGGAGGCAAGGATTCTGACATACTTTAGACATGTTGTAAGGAGAGACAGGTCTTTAGAGAGGGACATCATGCTTGGCAGAGTGGAGGGATGGCGCAGGAGGGGAAGACCCTCTATGAGGTGGATTGATTCAGTGACTGCGGTACTTGGGATGGGTTTGTCAGTGGCAATGAGATTGGCACAGGATAGAGCACGGTTTAGGGCTGTTGTACATAGGGTCGCTATGAGGCACAAATGACTCGACGGCACATAACAACAACAACATACTCCCTAGTCATTGTCCAACTCTCTGACGCATAACAACTGATTGCAAAGACTATAGCCTGTATCAGACACAGCTTAGTCTCCAGAGTGACACCACTGCTCTTTAGAACTTTGGAGAGGTCCCTAACAGCAGACTTTCCTATCACAATACGCCTTTTAATTTCCTGGCTGCTGTTGCCAAGAGTTTTGACTGTGGATCCAAGCAAACTAAAGCTGTAAGCAATCTCAGTCTCTTCACCACCCATCCTGATGCTGCCAAGTGGTCCATTGGTGAGAATCTTTGTCTTCTTGACATTGAGCCTCAATCCATATGGAAGGCTGCAGTCCTTGACCCTCTGCAGCAAGCGTTTCCGATCCTCCACAGTTTCAGCAAGCAGGGTTGTGTCATCTGCATAAAGCAGATTATTGATGAGTCTTCTTCCAATCCTGATGCCACACTTCTCCTCACTAAAACACTTTAGAAGTAATATTTATAAGAATATCTGATTGATTGGATATGAGAAGTTAAGAAAACAAGTGATACTATCTAATCAATAAATCACAAAATCTATTGATGGTGATCATTCATAAATTTTAGAATATGTGAGATAAAGATACCGTTGAAACAATTAGTAGTTGAATGTCTAATAAGAA